TTGTCTCCCTCTTGTCCCCCTCCCATTCTCACACAGACTAACCTTGAACTCACTGCTCTTTGAGATTTACACAAACAAGTGCTAATTTGGCAACAGAAACAATACTAAACTGATCTTAGTTTTAACTGGTGCAGGAGTCAATATTCCAACAACGTAGCCCCCACTTTGAATGAGGGGTTGCGATTTTCACTTCATGGTTCTTTCATTCTTCTGTTAGGATCAGTCACAGAACATTACCAACATCACAAAGTGCATGCCTGAGGCCCTGTTTTGTCGGAGACGCTGCAACAGTAACACGTTAGAGTTGGGTATCAGTTTGGCCTCCTGTTTACATGGAGACTGTGCTTCGGGGGGTGAAATGATAAGCGTTAAGATCCAGCCTACAGTGTGGAACAGCTCAGATACACTGTACATAAGGACGCTCTTTTACACCTGTGTGAAGGAAAAGGTGTGAATTATCTGCTGCTATGAAGGAGAATTCCACTCCTTCGTCGAAACAAAACCATGCAAAGCTGCAGTTTCAGTTTACATTTTTTGCCGCTGCTGTTAAATGCAGAGCAATGTTGGTGCATTCTTTCATGTCTTTGCGCTGTGACCTGAAGAGGATGCTGCTGAGGAAGCAAATATACTGCTAGGGGTTGCGTGTGTCGTGTTGTAAAGTTCCACTGCCCACTACTGGCCGGGCGCTAGAACTCTATTGTTTTCGCACCTCACCTTAACACTGCGCAGGAGCCTGGTCCATCCATCCATCTGTGATAAGGAGGGAAATGAGGTATTGAATTAAAAAAGGTAGATTAAAAACTGGAAGGTAAAATGCCGAATGTATTAAAATGTTATTTAATACAATATAAAATGGATAAAATAGTAATTAAAAACAGTGTTAAAATGATAAAATGATGGCGGTCCACGAGGGTCCGATCCTCTTGCCCCAGCAGATGGAGGAAGGGCAGCACTCCCACGGAGTCCGGTCCCGCGCACGCAGCCGCTGGCGCCGCACCTGCACACAGCACACACACGGGCCAGCCACGCACAGCACCCAGGGTCCCTCCTTTAGCCCAAGGCTTCACCTCCTTAACACCACGACTACACTGGAGCAAAACTCACCGGCAGGGCAGGGTCCGAATGTAGTCGGCTTCGTGGTGCGGGGGTCCAGAGCGTGGGCGCCATGGTGCTGGCCCGGTGCGCGCTGGTCCCTCTCCCAGGCTCCCCCTCCGAGGCTGCACGCCCCTCCCCCGGTGCCACACACGTTCCGTCTCTCTTTGCTTCTCTCTCTTCTCTTCCCGTCTCCACTACATGGCCTCTTTTGTACTGCCCCGACACAGGTGTACTCATTATCAGTTTGGGCAGGCAGGTGTGCGGGGTAACCAGGTGACTGGGAGGCATGAAAGAAAACCACATTACACCGGTTTTAAAATCGCTGCATTGGCTCCCCGTGTGTTTCAGGATCAATTTTAAGGTTCTTTTAATGGTTTTTAAATGTCTTAATGGTCTTGGGCCTTCTTATCTTTCAGATTTGCTTTTATCCTATGAGCCTTCCCGGCAGCAGACACCATCCCCAAAGTCAGGACACACACTCACGGCGAGGCATCTTTCCAGCACTACGGCCCCCGTCTCTGGAACAGTCTGCTGGAGGAGCTCAGCACCGCTGAGAACATTCATATTTTTAAAAGTAGGCTCAAGACGCACCTTTTTAGATTAGCTTTTGATTAGTATTTATTGTGTTTTAGACAGATCTTATTTTGGTTCTTATTTATTTATTTAATTGTATGTATTCTGTTTTGTCGCTTAATATTATGTAGCTATTTTACTCTTTATTGTATGGTTTTAGTATTCCCAGTGTTTCCTCTGGAGGAGCCCTCTGCACTGGGTGCGGCGGTCTGCTGTAGCTGCGGGGGTCCGGCTTTTGGATCTAGTGGGGACCTGGGGCCTCCTCTCTCCTCCGGGTCCTATGGGGGCCTGAAGGGAGGTCTGGGGCCTCTTCTCTCCTCTGGGTCCTGTGTCGTCCCCTGTGGTTGCAAGCGGCTCTCTGCTCCTGGTGCAGATGGCTCCCTGGATGGCGCTTCTTCACCTGGATACATCCGCACCCAGCCCTATACTGTATCTTTTCATAGTTTTACCTATTTTACCTGTCTGTTGTGATTTTATATGTCTTTGTGTGTGTGTGTGTGTGTGTGTGTGTGACTCAGCTGTAAAGCACTTTGTGTTGCATTTTATTGTATGAAAAGCGCTTTATAAATAAAGTTTGATTTGATTTGAAAAACTAAATACACAGCAACCCAAAAACATGCAAACAAAACGCATGCTATCACAGTCCACCAGATTACACATCAATTTTCTTCCGCTTCATCCGTTGCCAGGTCGCGGGGGCAGCAGTCTAAGCAGAGACGCCCAGACTATCCACATACACTTCCTCCAGCTCGTCCGGGGGGACTCCAAGGCGTTCCCAGGCCAGCTGAGAGACATAGTCCCTCCAGCGTGTCCTGGGTCTTTCCCGGGGCCTCCTCCCGGTGGGACGTGCCCGGAACACCTCCCCAGGGAGGCGTCCAGGAGGCATCCGGAACAGATGCCCGAGCCACCTCAACTGGTTCCTCTCGACGTGGAGAAGCAGCGGCTCTACTCCGAGCTCCTCCCGTGTGACCGAGCTCCTCACCCTATCTCTAAGGGAGCGCCCAGCCACTCTGCGGAGGAAGCTCTTGTATCCGCGATCTCGTTCTTTCGGTCCTTACCCAAAGCTCATGACCATAGGTGAGGGAGGGAACGAAGATTGAGCCTGGTCGTTTCTGTTAATTGCTGTGCATCTTCTGCGCACCGCCTCCGTAGAAACGGGGCCTGAGTGTCTAATTATCGTCTCAGGGAGGTGATTCAGAATCAATGTCATTGCACATATCTATTTCATCTTCCTTTATTTACTTTCATCCACACTTGTTCTTCCATGCCATATTGCAGTCAACAAATGTGACTCATATTGAAAATGTTATTTTGGTCTGAGTATACGGGTTGTACTAAAATATACACTGTAAAAAATACAACTCAAAATTGTTCACCTTACTCAGATTTTTGCATTCACTGACAATAAAATCACCAGTTGGAACTGCAACTGTCTGTTGTGAGCCACTTGAACTCACTTTCAGAAGTTTCTGATGAAAAGTATATATCTTTTTTGATATATTAAGTTGATTTTACTTTGAAGTTTTAGTGAACTTCTGAAAGTGAGTTCAAGTGGCTCACAACAGACAGTTCCAGTTCCAACTGGTGATTTTATTGTCAGTGAATGCAAAAATCTGAGTAAGGTGAACAATTTTGAGTTGTCGTTTTTACAGTTCACCGAACTAGAGTGAGGTCAACTTATCTGCGTTTGCTCATTTAAATATTTGTCATGGCAACCGGCTGCATTCAACATTTTGAAAAAACTAATTTGACCAAAAAAATTATTGTATTTATTTTTACCAACCGTAATCGACAGGGCCAAGCCAAAGTAGCCCTATATATTCCGTGGGTCAGTCTTAGAAACTTTAGTTTTCCCCACTAATCGGGTTCTCAGTGTGTGTGGCATGGTGGCTGAGTGGATAGCACTCTCACTTCTTGACACGAAGGTCCTGGGTTCAAACCCTGGTCGGAACAGGACCTTCCTGACACAGAGAATTTGCATGTTCTCTGTGTCTGCATAGGTTTCCTCCGGGTGCTCCGGTTTCCCCTGCCCAAGTGACCTTGGTCTGTAAAATGTGCTATATACAGTAAACAAACATCATGATGGTTTTATGTGGGGGCTAATTTAAACTCAAAATAGTAAGTTATTGTAGGGGACAATAATCTAAACTTAAAAAAGTAAGTTTTACAGACTTGAAATCCAGTAACTTGAATTTAAAAACTTAGTTGGCAGAACTTGGAAAACTTAGCTGACACAACTTAATAAGTGTAGTTCTTCAAAACGTGAAGAATTAAGTTAATGCCTTCAACTCAAAAATCCTTTGCAGCTGGTTGGTTTGAAATTTTGAGTTGAACTAACTTTTTCTTTTTTACAGTGTAGTCTACCATAATTGTCAAAAATGCTAACAGTTGGTAATACAATAGAAGGTTATACAAAATAACAAAATAGGAGGGTGTGAAAGTGGGAAAACAGTTGACTTTGTTTTAACCCTGCATTATGGATTTTGACATGTGCGGTATGAATGTACTTTACATTTTTGTTTGGTAAAGACAATGATATTCTTTAATTACTAATGTTAGAGCTAAAATAAACCATATTGAAAAGAGTATTCAGATAAAAATCATATTTTTATTTTCAGTGCTGTATGTTTTTGTGTATGTCTCATTAAATTGGCCATTATAGTTTTTTCAGGAGGTTTTCATGTCAACACATTAGACATAATAATTTTTTTTTTTCAAATTAAAGGAACAAATGTTGTCTTCGTTATGTCACATATTCAAGCAGGCCTTCTAGAACTTGAAAAGGAATATTGTGATGTCGCGGTTGATATGCCAACAATTATGGTTGTCACGACAACCGTTACGTCACAATATTCTAGAATTTATGTGAGGATAATATCATATGTAGTTAAAGCTATAATCCAAGTTACTTTGCAAATACATAGCATTTCATGTATCAAGGAGTGAGGTTGGGTGAGGCAGTCAAGTGAGGAGAACCAAACATGGAATTTAATCAGAACCTGTTCACAAGGATGTCTAAGAAAATAGCACAGCTTACAAAGATTATTTATAGGTTCCAAACTCAAATTGAAAACCACCAGGAAAGCATTGCATCATTGACAGAGACCCACAAAGAAGAGGTTGAAAGTATTCAGTTGGAGACCAGTGTGAAGATAAAGCAAAAAACAAAAAATGAGATTACACTAAAGCAACGAATCCAGTCTTTAGAAGAGTCTTTGAAACTCGAAGCAGACAAGAAGAGGAAGGTGTTAGCAGAGTTTGAAAATTACAAACAGAGGAGAGAGGACCTGGAGCGCGACATTAGTGCACAGCATGCGAAACAAGTGGGGTCCATGTCTTTGGAGATGGAAGAGATTCGGCGGTCATTTGAGGACAAGCTTTGTTCCTTCAGCTTGGTCCAAAAGCAGCTTGAGCAGGAGGGCGAGAAGCTAAAGGCCAGTCACAGACAGAAAATGCAAGAACTCCACCAGAGCCACAAAGCAGAGGTGGACTTTTGGTCAGAGCAAGTGAATAAGCAAAAACAGGACAAGAAAAGGGTTGCAGACGAGTTTGGAGAAAAACTCCTAAAAGCTAGAACCGAGTATGATTCTGAACTGATACAAATTCAAAAAACGGCCGATGACCTTCTGGCACTGAAACAGAAAGATCTTAAGACCCAGAATGCTGATTTGCAAAAAACATTAGATGAGCTGAGGTTGGAGCTATCCCAGTTAAGTGAAAAACGAAGGGACGAGGAGGATAAGTCTAACAAACTGCAGTATTTGCTAAACGAGGCAACAAATACACTAAAAGAGATTTCTAAAAATAACAGCCAGGAGGCAACTATCTTAAATCTGACTTTAAAGCAGAGCCAGCTGAAGGACAAGGAGCTTCACCTGGAAGAAAGTGAGGCAGCACTTACTCAAGCCCAAGTTCTGAACGAAAAGCAGAAGCAGCAAATTGAGTCTTTGGAGAAGGCTCTTGGGGAGGAAAGAGCCTTGCACAAGGATATCGGAGAACGCCTCCAAACACAAGAGAACGAGGTCGATATTATGAGAGACAACATGGCCAAAACACTGCAGAAGGCATTCAATCAGTACAGTGTAAGTCTGAAAAAATGTGAACATGAGAAGACCCAACTACTGGCAGAACTAGAGGCCTCCAGAAAACAGATAAAAATACAGGCAGAAGAATTCAAGAATAGTGCTAGCCTGAAGAAGTCTGAAGCAGAGCGTAACATTAAGCAACTGCTGGCTGAGCTGGAGGCAACCAGAGATCAAGTCAAAACATTGGAGGAAATGTCCAAGAAACACAGTGTTAATTTGAAGAACACAGAGAAGAAAAAGGACCAACTGCTGGTTGAACTGGGGGCAACCAGAGATCAAGTCAAAACATTGGAGGAAATGTCCAAGAAACACAGTGTTAATTTGAAGAACACAGAGAAGAAAAAGGACCAACTGCTGGTTGAACTGGGGGCAACCAGAGATCAAGTCAAAACATTGGAGGAAATGTCCAAGAAACACAGTGTTAATTTGAAGAACACAGAGAAGAAAAAGGACCAACTGCTGGTTAAACTGGGGGCAACCAGAGATCAAGTCAAAACATTGGAGGAAATGTCCAAGAAACACAGTGTTAATTTGAAGAACACAGAGAAGAAAAAGGACCAACTGCTGGTTGAACTGGAGGCAACCAGAGATCAAGCCAAAACACTAGAGGAAACGTCCAAGAAATTCAGTGTTAGCCTGAGGTGTGCAGAGATGGAGAATTCCCGGATGAAGGCTGAACTGAATGCCACCATGATCCAAGTAGAAGTACTGTTAGAGGAGTCAACAAAGAATAATTTATGTCTGAAGAACTTAAAGGAGGAGAAGATTCAACTACAGACAGAGCTGGAGCAGAAATTTCAACAGAAGCAGCAGAAGAAGCTTTTGTTGAGGCAGCTCCAAGAAGTTAATACACAATTAACTGTGGCCAATGCAGAGGTGTCCGATATGGAAATACAGGTCCATCAGAGCAAACAGAAACTGAGTGTAGCAGAGCAACAGCTGTCCACTCTGAAAGAGACCCACAGTAAACAATTGGAGGAACTGAAAGCTGAAATCCGGAGCACCAAAAGCTGCCTCAATGAGACAAGTAACCAGTTAGAATCTCTAAAGAAAGAAGTGAGCAAGCTAGAGTCACAGAAAGAAGATTATGAAATCAAACATAAGAAAGCTATGCAGAACCATAAACTGAAAATGGAAAACATAATACGTAAAAGGCAGCTGGAGTGGGCAGAAACCCTCAGACAGAAGTGTGAGGAGCTGACAGAGTTTCATGACAAAGACAAAACCAGTGCTCTGGATCACCTGGCCCAGACTAAAGACATGGAGCTGAGTGCTGCACGGGAGAACTGGATATGCAAAGAGCAGAATCTAGTACGGCAGATCTTGCAGTTGCAAGACACTTTGGAGAAGCTTCTGCCCCTCTCCAAGTCTCTGCAACAGCAGAATGCTCAGTTCACTCAGGACAGAGAGCATCTATTACTTCAACTCCAGGAGACCCACTCCAGCGCTCTTCAGAAGCAGGAAGAAGTCCATCGGAAAAACCTCAAAGAAATGGAGCATGAATTATGCCATAAACACCAAGCTGAGATTAAGTCTCTCCAAGAGACCCACCACCAGAGTCTGAAGACGCTCAGAGAGCAGTCAGAGCTGGAGCTACAGTCAGTGACACTTCAATCAGAGAACAATGAAAAATCTATGATTGACGCAATGAGGACAAAATTAAACTTCTATCACGCTTCTGCTATCAAGAAAATGAAACAAGGTCACAAACAAGAGTTGTCTGAGGTAAACATGAAGCTGGAGGAGTGCTTGTTAAAGAAGGAAGAGATGTTGGATAGGATCTCAGAGCTCGAGAAGGAGGTGTCCAACATCCACCTCCTCCATGAAAACATCAGGTGCCTCACAAAGGAAGTGGAACTCCAAGGCCAACAGGTGCTAAAAACCCGGAGGGAAGCAAACCAACAATTATTTTTGCGTGAACAGGAAATGGTGAAGAGAAATGAAGAGGAGTTGTCTAAGCTGCGTCTGGTTCACATTGAAGAAATTCAAAACATGTCATCAAACTTCAAAAAGGTCCAGAAAGGGCTTGAGGACAAGGTTTCTGCACTCAAAAAACATTTGACGGCAGCCGAGGATAAGTACAAGAACAGAAAGAGCAGACCTGAAGATCAGCTGATCATCGCTAATCTAAAGTCTGAGATAACAGATCTGAAGCGCTATAAGTTAGAATTGGTCAATCGAGAGAAAAACTTTAGAATCTTCAAGGGCAGTCCAATAATAGGTCCCAAACCGTGCTCTCACAAACCTTAAAAAAATATAGTCATGATAAAACAAGATTTTTCAACATAATATTCAAAAAGCATGTATTTTGCCTTCCATCGTCTGTTAATGACAGTGCACGGGGATGTTAAAAGGCGTTTTGCGAAGGATATTTTAACTTAATCTGCATTTAGGGGTTTTGGAGTCCCTTTAATAACAACTTGAGACACACAGCACAGTATGTTTTGAAGGTCCAGATCTTAATCATAAAGATCATAGTGTGCAATTATGGTTAGCCCAGACCAGATCTGCTCCCTTCTACATCAAGCAGACCTTAGATTGTTTATGAGTTAGTATCAGGATTAGGGTGTGGCTAACCACACCCATAGATTATAAATCTCCAACGCGCGGTCCGAGAATTCATTCCCTGAAGAAGTCCGCTAGTTTGAGGACAAAACGTCGGGAAAACTTGCTAAGAAGTACAGATGATGGGTGAGAAACCTTCCTTTGCTTTAATTCAATGTAATATTTAATCTATATGATTGCAAACTATCTACTGATGAGTAGACAAATCAATATATCTACATGAGAAGACAAATCCTCCTGATCCTCCTGTGGACTCACCACCTGCAGTAGGATCAGTGAGGGGCTGGTGCTTTGTGTACCAATAAAGTAAAAAAACCAATAACATTCAATAAAGATTTTATTGTGGACTTTTCGGACTTTTTAGCAGGAATTGCTCTTAAATTTGACCATTTTCTAATAGCTGGTGATTTTAATATCCATGTCTGTTGTGACTCCAAGCCTTTGGTCAAGGATTTTAAAACTGTGATTGACTCTTTTAATCTGACGCAGTGGGTCAGTGGCCCCACGCATGAAAAGGGGCACACACTCGATCTTGTTCTATCTTATGGTTTGACTGTACGCATCGAGGATCTCTGTAATACACAGATTTCGGATCATATACCTGTTTTGTTTTCACTGAATCTTCCCTGCCTTTTGGCTCCATGTGCCATGGCGCGCAGGCGACGCGTAATCACGTCCTCTACAGCAGAAGCATTCTCTAATGCCTTTGTTTCTTCTGCGCCTTCACTGTTGTGTGACTCTGATACTGATGCGCTAACTTGTTTGTTCACGTCTACCTGTACTGTAATTCTGGATTTAGTTGCTCCTTATAATACATGTAAGCCTAAGAGTAAGTCCCAGCCCTGGCTAAATGACACCACGCGCGCGCTCAGGCGTGAGTGCCGACGTGCAGAAAGGCGTTGGAAAAAGGACAGACTTCATGTTTCCCTGGGCATCTTAAGAGATTGTTGGTCTAATTATCAAAGAGCAGTAAAATGCGCTAAAACTGAGTACATGTCAAACCTGATATCTACAAATGGTCACAAACCACAAGTTCTCTTTACTGTTTTAAATCGCCTTGTGAATCCCACTGAATCCAGTGGCATTGTACCATCAGAAACTTTGTGTGTCAATTTTCAAAGATTCTTTGTGGATAAAATATCTGCTATTCGGGATTCTACATTACATTGTGCTGCTGTGGACCCTTCTGTGAATTCTGTTTGTTCTGTGGTCCTTGAACATTTTGAATCTGTGTCACTTGATGAGCTGTCTTCTGTGGTGCGCCAGTTAAAACCCTCTGATTGTCCACTTCACTGTGTCCCGTCTAAACTTCTTAAAGACTCCTTCAGTGTGATTGGGCCCTTTATAATGAGAATTATTAATTCATCATTGATCTCGGGCAGCGTCCCAAGTGCTTTCAAGCATGCTGCTGTCCAGCCTCTACTTAAAAAACACAGCTTAGATCCTGAAGTTCTGTCTAACTTCAGGCCAATTTCTAAGTTGCCTTTTTTATCAAAAGTTCTGGAGAAATTGGTTCACGCCCAAATTCAGTCTCACTTGGAAGCAAATAGCCTCTTTGAAAAATTTCAGTCGGGTTTTAAACCGTGTCATAGCACTGAAACTGCACTCTTAAGAGTTTTTAATGACCTTCTTTTAAATGTTGATTCGGGTCACCCCACTATTTTAGTGCTTTTAGATTTAACTGCAGCGTTTGACACGGTGGACCATCAAATACTGCTTTCCCGCCTTGAAAACCATGTTGGTATTGGAGGAACGGCCCTAAAATGGTTCAGATCATATCTTGAAAATCGCTCTTTCTCTGTCCACCTGGGACCTTCAGTGTTGGGCACGTTACTTTGAAAAAGTAATTAGTTATAGTTACTAGTTACTTCTCCCAAAAAGTAACTGAGTTACTAACGGAGTTACTCCACTATAAAAGTAACTAGTTACCAGTAAAAGTAACTATTGCGTTACTTTTTCGTTTTGTTCTGGAACATAATGTGCACCCGACGTGCGCATTTTTACCTTTAACAGTGCCAATATTTCCATCTAGAAAAGGCTGTTTTGCTGCTGAAGTCCTGTTCACTCTTCATCTCTCACTGTGCTGTAAGCACTAAACACCAACACCAACACCCGCCACTGTGAATGTGGAAACACCGGTGACGAGCGGTGAGGCTGGTGAAGCACTGACTTCAGTCCAATCAGATGAACATATACATCATATAAATCAAGTGGACAATTTGTTTGGCTACAGCAAAATATGTTTTATGCCCGCATTGTTTGTTCATACAAAACGCAAAACTATGAGTTATGGGTCTTACCTTATAGCTATACCTTATAAATGACCTGCACAGTCCACTTCGGTTCAGAACCAGTTCTTTGTTTAAATCCAGTTAATGGTTTGAGCGTAGATATGTAATCCTCCATTTGGAAATGAGTCCAATGAGTTTTAAAAAGTAAAACAAAACGCGTGTGTCCTCCATAAACTCCTCTGTTTTGCTAGCGGCAGCCGAGTGCATCCAATTTCTAAAATCAACCGTCTTACCCTTCACCTCTCTTTCTTATCATTCCTATAGTAATTGAAAAATTACCCTATGTGCATTTTAGATTATGTAAAAATGTGTTATATGTATGTTAGCCAAACCTGTTGCTGTCCTTAGCAGATAAACCAGGAAGAGAAAGGAGCTTATCGATGGAATTGTATGCAGCCGACTTCTGCGCTCACATGAGCTACTCTGTGGCTGACCTCACGGTGATACAAGCCGTGGTTGAGCGCGATTAAGACCCATATTTGTTTCAAAAACACAATTTATGAGCCATCCTCTCAACTGTAGACATGTAGATTGTAAAGGAAATATGTTTTACATCAGCCAATAACATCTGAGAGGTTTTCTCATCCTCCCTTCTCTCATGACAACACGTTCATTGTGCGTCTTGAGTAACGCGCAGTAACGGGATGTCGGAAATGACAACGGCGTTATAGTTACTGTCAAAGTAATTAGTTAGATTACTCGTTACTGAAAAAAGTAACGGCGTTAGTAACGCCGTTACTAGTAACGCCGTTATTCCCATCACTGGGGACCTTACAGCTCAGATGCGGCCCCACTGAGCTGCGGAGTGCCACAGGGCTCAGTTTTAGGTCCTTTATTGTTCTCACTGTACCTGTTGCCCCTTGGATCTATCCATTTTCTTTCGCTTTATCCGTTGCCGGGTCAAGGGGGCAGGAGTCTAAGCAGAGACGCCCAGACTTCCCTATCCACACACACTTCCTCCAGCTCGTCCGGGGGGACCCCAAGGCGTTCCCAGGCCAGCTGAGAGACATAGTCCCTCCAGCGTGTCCTGGGTCTTCCGCGGGGCCTCCTCCCGGTGGGACGTGCCCGGAACACCTCCCCAGGGAGGCGTCCAGGAGGCATCCGGAACAGATGCCCGATCCACCTCAACTGGTTCCTCTCGACGTGGAGAAGCAGCGGTTCTACTCCGAGCTCCTCCCGTGTGACTGAGCTCCTCACCCTATCTCTAAGGGAGCGCCCAGCCACTCTGCGGAGGAAGCTCATTTCGACCGCTTGTATCCGCGATCTTGTTCTTTCGGTCATTACCCAAAGCTCATGACCATAGGTGAGGGAGGGAACGAAGATTGACCGGTAAATCGAGAGCTTTGCCTTTCGGCTCAGCTCCCTCTTCACCACAACGGTCCGATACAGCGACTGCATCACTGCGCACGCTGCACCGATCCGCCTGTCAATCTCACGCTCCATTCTTCCCCCACTCGTGAACAAGACCCCGAGATACTTGAACTCCTCCACTTGAGGAAGGACCTCTCCACCCACCTGCAGAGGGCAAGGCACCTTTTTCCGGTCGAGCACCATGGCCTCGGATTTGGAGGTGCTGATTCTCATCCCAGCCGCTTCACACTCGGCTGCAAACCGCCCCAGTGCATGCTGCAGGTCCTGGTTCGTTGGAGCCAACAGGACAACATCGTCCGCAAACAGCAGAGATGAAATCCTGTGGTCTCCGAACCGGACCCCCTCCGACCCCTGGCTGCGCCTACACTGTAAACCCTTATAAGTAAAGTTTACTTGAAAAAACCATGGAAATAAATTGCGTATTAACTTCACTTGAATTCCATGAGTAGATTATTTACTTGATATAGACAAGTAAACTCTCAGTGTAGGTTACTTCCAAAATCCAATTCATTTAAATCAAGATTGACTGTGATTTCAACTTCTATTTGGCAAGTTCTGGTGACTTAAGAGTATCTTATAGATTTAACTATCACTTTGCAAATTTTGCCAACTTGCATAATAAGACTAGAATTACTATGATTTTTCTAGTAGAACTAACTAATGATGTTTCAAAGCATTAACTGTTAGTATTCCAGTTCTGCCAATGTACATATTACAATTTCAACAGTTATACTTCTAGAGTTGCAATCAAATATGACAACGTATGCAAAGTTGTAAAACATTCATTCTGCAGCAAAAAATCCAGTGATTAAATCACATGGCTTACAGAATTGTATATATTCACATTTAAAAACATTTGTGAATACAATTTTATGAAATTTACATATTAATCAACTTTCAAACCACTAACAGCAGACCGGTTTCAGAAAGGAGTCTAGCGTTGCTGCTCCTCAGGTTGGAACAAAAACATATACCCACACTGGCCCTTTGAGGACTTTGACACCTGATATAAGTGAAATGCTG